GGGGTGGGCGCCCGGGGCGGGCCCACAGCGCCGGGGGGACGGGGAGGAAACCAAGCGCCGGCGCAGGCCCCGTCGCACCCACCTCTCCGCCAAAATGGGGCCGGGGAGCAGGAAAGCGAGAGATGTGAGGGAAGAGGGGAAAATGGTCCAAACCAATCACTCACCCTCCGCTCGAGCCTCCAGGCTCTCTCAGCCCGGCTCCTCCGCCCTCCTCCAGCCGCGGCGGCGGCTCCTCAGCGGCGCTAGGGGGAGCCCCGGGCCCGGAGCGGGAGAGCGGCGGCGGCCGGACCGGGAGCCCCTCCGCACCTGCCCCTGTGGCGGAGCCGCGACGAGCCAAGCAGCGGTGGCTGCAGCGGCTCCGAGTGGGGAGGGCAAGTGACCCGGATGTACAGGGTAACAGCGAGGAGGGGGAGGGGGGAATGCCAGGAAGTGAGAGCGCCGCGGACCTGTCCGGCCATGCGCATGCGCCGCGCGCCCGCCCCGCAAGGTAAATCCTCAGCCTTCCTTCTCCGCCCCCCTCCCCCCCCCCCCCCCCCCGCCCCTCCTGAAAGGGGCGGGGAGAGGCCGGAGACAGGTGGTCGGTCGGGCGGGGCGCGGAGAGGAAGGGGGCGTGGCCACCTCCTCCGCGCCCCCTTCTCCTTAAAGGGGCAGCACCTTCACGCCGAGATAGCTTCTGGGTGGGTCGTGGTCTTCCAGCCTTGTCACTGTGCAGATGAGAAACGGAGGTTCAGAGGTGGCGGTGACCTGCCTCAGGTCAGAGAGGTCGGAAATGGCAGGAACTGGAGCTCGAGACTCGCAGACCAGGACTCGGCGCTGAAGCCTGCGAAGTTGCCACATTCCTCCACCCCCACGCCTGGAATGGCTGGGCCGGCTGCACGCTCTTTCCCCACCGGCCAGGTACCGAGCCTCACTCGCGCTTCCTGACACTGCAGACGCTTGGCAGGCTCCCCAGAGCCAAGAGATGCACCGTTATCGCCTGCGATGGTATCGTGGAGAGACGCCCTTGGGAGGTGTTAAAACATCATTGTGAGAACAGACGTCAGACGCCACGTGGGACTCATGGCGTGCCACGCACACTTTCAGATAAGTCAGGTCCTTGCTCAGGGGTCGACTCTTAGCAGAAATGTCTAGAGGGCTGAGAACCTGCATGTGGCAGAGGGCGCAGCATGTTTATTTCCCAGTCCCCCTTGCATTCTTTGATCATATATGCTCTCTTCTCCTCTTCGCGTACAAAAACAGAACATCCCATCTAGCGAGCGCATCCTAATCCCGTTACATAACTCCCAGATTTTTTTCATTAACAGGAAAGTGTAAAATACTACAATGTTACCTTCCCCAGGGTTATTTTCAGTTTGACTGCTGAGCAGATCACTAAGACGTAGGTAAATGGTTCTGAACATTTTGGGTCAAAGGACCAACTGAAAATCTCATGGGCTTTTCTCTCCAGAAAAATACATATATGCACACAAATGTGCATAGAATTTCAGGAGATTCATGGACCCAGGGACCCTATCTATGAAATCCTGATTATGAACCACCTGTGGTAGTCAAATAGGTAAGATCCCAGGAACTATCTGGGCCTTACTGAATGTGGCCAATAAATCACTCATTGCCCCCAGATACAGAGGGGCAGCCCTTACCTTATTTAGCCTTTCTGTCTTCCTCCTGAGTTACATGAAGAACAAATGGTATAGAATATTATGGTCATATTATATAGAATCGTGTTGAGAGTGTCATGGAGAGATTAAATGGCTTTTTCAAGGCACACACTAAAAGCAAGAGTCCTAGGCCTCAGAATTTTACCCTAATTATGATACTTCAGGGGGATTTGGGACTTCCATACTGTATCTATTATAATTTTCATCAGTTTTAATTAAACTGAGGTAAGAGATATTTTACAAACGTTGATGCTGACAGCACAATCCTCACAATCCAAGAAGGTCAGTCCATTCATCTGACACACTGACATCCAATCTTAGATAACCCTGGTCCATATACACCCACCATCCTCAACCTGAACAAGAGGAAGAATTCATACATCTGCCCAGTCCCGTAGGTAGGAGCTCTGAGAAACTACACACCTCTAACCTAACTTTGCACCAAAAGCAGAAATCTCTTCCATAGTTTCCTCAACACATGAACATTCCAGTTTTGCTTGAATATCTCCAATTATGGGGAGCTCATTACTGCAATTGTCAGCCGCCTCTAACTGTGAGGAACCTCTTCTTTTACACTGACCAGACATCTGATACCCAACAATAAAACAGTCCATTGATGAGTGATAACAGTAAAATAAGATGAGTCCTGTGAGGAACATGGAATACTCCTCTGAGAACCACCCTTCTCCTTAGTCCTAGACCCATTCCTGGCCTGCGCAAAAACTCACGAGTTCTTCCATCACCTTATGTAGGATGCCCTGAAAGAGGGAAGCTGGCTCAGAAAACAAGACCCTACAAGAAGTGCTGAATTTATTCTTCCACAATATTTCCTCATCATTCTGCATGAATGTAATCACATTTCAGCTGAGGTCAAAGCTTTAAAAGTTTTATGTTGAAAAGGCAAGCAGAAGGATGCCAAAAAAAGATGTTTACATAAAAGCACTTGCCTCTCTGGGCTGGCCCGGTGGCACACTG